AACTTTGCGTCTTTAAAGATAGAAACTTAAGAAGATACCAGGCAATGGAAAGATGTCCCATGCTCATGGATAGGTAGGATCAACATGGTAAAAATGGCAATCTTGCCAAAAGCAATCTACAGATTCAATGCAATCCCCATCAAAATCCCAGCACAATTCTTCACAGACCTTGAAAGGACAATACTCAAATTTATATAGAGAAACAAATTATCCAGGATAGCCAAAACAACACTGTACAATAAAGGAACTTCTGGAGACATCACCATCCCTGACTTCAAGCTCTATTATAGAGTTATAGTTCTGAAAACAGCTTGGTACTGGCATAAAAATAGACAGGTAGACCAATGAAATAGAATTGAACATCCTGATATTCACCCACACACCTACGAACACCTGATTTTAGACAAAGAAATTAAAATTATACAATGGAAAAAAGAAAGTATCTTCAACCAATGGTGCTCACATAACTGGATGCTAGCATGAAGACTACAGACAGATCCATGTCTATTGCCATTCACAAAACGTAAGTTAAAATGGATCAAAGACCTAAACATAAAATCAGTCACACTGAACCTCTTAGAAGAGAAAGTGGGAGGTACTATTGAATGAATTCCTTCAGGAGACTACTTCCTGAACATAACACCAGTAGCACAGATACTGAGATCAACAGTTAATAAATGGGACTTCCTGAAACTGAGAAGCTTCTGTAATGCAAAGCACACAGCCAATAAAACAAAATGGCAGCCCACAGAATGGGAAAAGATATTCACCATCCCACATCTGATCTGACAGAAGCCTGATTTCCAAAATATACAAAGAACTCATGAAGTAAGTCACCAAAACACCAAATACTCCAATTAAAAAGTGGGGTACAGAACTAAATGGAAATTTCTCTATAGAGGAATCTAAAGTGGCTCAAAGACACATAATAAAGTGCTCATCATCATTAACCATTAGGGAAATGCAAAGCAAAACAACTCTGAGATACCATCTCGCTCCTGTCCAAATGGTCAAAATCAAAAACACCAAGGATAGTTTATGCCGGAGAGGATGTGTAGAAAGGGGAACACTCCTCAACTGCTGGTGGGAGTGTCAACTCACACAGTCACTTTGGAAATCAGTATCATGGTTCCTCTGGAAAATGGGAATCAGTGTACCACAAGATCCAGCAATTTCACTCTTAGGTATATACCCAAAAGATGCACCTTCATACAACAAGGACATCTGTTCCACTATGCTCACAGCAGAATTATTTGTAATAGCCAGCACATGTAAGCAAGCTAGATGCTGAAGAATGGATAGACAATTTGGTACATTCACATTTGGGGGGTCCAGATCAGTCCCATGCTGGCCTCCCCACTGTCGGTCTGGGGTCCAAGAGCACTCCCCTGTTCAGATCAGCTGTCTCTGCTGGTTTTGCCAGCCCATTCTTTGCCAATTTGCTCATCACTCCTCTCTCTCTCTGTCACTGGGTTCCTTGGGTTCAGTTCAGTGAACCCAGGTTATTTAATTTTTACAAAGGGGCCAATAAGTGAATAAGGTCCATCAAAATGATAGAACAGCAATTCCTAATAACTGTACCTGAAACAAAGAACATTTTCAATGCTCAACCCTCCATCATTTTGGATCCTATTTACACAGAAAGGGAGTGTTTATGAGATTTTTCTTTGAGAGTAGAAAAAAAAACTTCTGTTGTGCTTCTATAGTTGTAATTGGAGGTAACACTTATTTGAAATTGAAAGGAGCCTTGGGGATCTATTTGCCACATTCTGCGTTGCAGAATTAGAGATGTAGAGAAGTTGATCTTCTTAAAAGAAACACCACAGGCTTAAAACAATGTGCTTCTGGCTCCCTCCACATATTTAATAAAGAGCTCTGCTCGATGCGGTCTCTCATGGAGCTAGGTGGGTGGGGACATTAGCCCCTGAATCAGGAAGTTGAACAGTGCATTGCCTTTCAACAGCATCAGTGTCCAAATTTTTGTGTTTTTAATTTCTCGTTGGCAAAACTAAAAGAATAGTTTGCTTCTCACATATTTATGAAAAATCCAAAGGTCCTGTAAGTCAGGCAACAAACAGGGTGCTTTGACCCATATTTAAATATGGACTTGACTATACAAAATCAGCTTTAGTTATTCTAAAAATCTTTCATCTGATTAACACAGGTAGAAAACAGGTATTGCTTCCTTTTTTGTATACAGATTGAGAACAAAATATCATTTGCTAATACGTAAAAATTTTGACTGATGAAAATTTTAAGCTAAAGTCATAGAAATTTCAATATTTATGGAAATACCTGAGGGATTCATTTTATTTTTTAAGTTCTGTCTATATACGTGTGTATACATAGTCACAGGGCATTTGGTGTCTTCTATTGCATTCTGTCTCCTTCCTTTGAGAATTCTCACCATGATTTTCTGGTTGGGTTGACTCCTTAGTGAGAGTGAGCCTGAGACACTCTTGTCTCTTAAGATGTAATTGATTTTTTTTTTTTTTTTTTTTTTTTTGGTTTTTACGAGACAGGGTTTCTCTGTATTGTTTCGGGGCTATCGGTCCAGCCCGGCCTCGAACTCAGAGATCTGCCTGCCTCTGCCTCCTGAGTGCTGGGATTAAAGGCATGTGCCACCACCGCCCAGCAGGATGTAATTGATCTCTTTTTAAAGCAACAAAAACCCCACACCCTTTGTCTGCCAGAGGTAAACCAATGAATCTATCATCAGTGAAACTTGAGCAAAGAAAAGTGAGAGGGAATAAACCATGCATATCTGAATTACATTTTGGCACAAATTCTATCTTCTTGTGGTTTCCACATTTCAATTATTTCAATATTCATACTTGGGAGACCCCAGTTAAGTTTTTGTGGATTTTTTTTTTAACCTACGGCACACTGAAACAAACCCAAACTTAAAGAGTTTGCCTTTTATTACTATTATTATTATATTTTATTTAGGTTAGAAACAATCTTGTTTCACATCAATCCTGGCTCCCTCTCCCTCCCCCCTTCCCCCTTCCCCACCAGGTCCCCAGTTCCCCACCCAATCTCCACTCTGATCACCAAGGAGGGTGAGGCACTCGAGGGTGATCTCCAATAAGTGTCATTTCATCCAGGGCAGGGCCTAGGCTCTCCCCTAAGAGTCCCGGCTGAGAGAGCCTCCCATATCGCAGCATGGGCACTCAAAGTCTATTTGTAAGCCAGGGGTAAATACTACCTAGTCCTTCTTACTGACACCCATATTCAGGGGGTCTGGGTCAGTCCCATGCTTTCCACACAGCCATCAATCTGGAGTCCAAGAGTCACCTTTGTTCAGGCCAACTGTTTCTGTGGGTTAAACCAGCCCAGTCTTAACTCCTTTGCCCATCAATTCTCTTTCTGTCACTGGATTCCAGTTCAGTTCAGTGTTTGTCTGTGGGTATTGGCCTTTGCTTTCGTCAGTCGCTGGATGAAGGTTCTGTTCCCCAGACTCTCTGGCTGTGGGACTGTAGACTGGCATTCCCGATTCATGTCTAAAATCCATACATCAGTGAGTACATATCATGTTTGTCTTTTTGTGACTGGGTTACCTCACTCAGGATGGTTTCTTCTTCCATTTGCCTGTGAATTTCAAGATTCCATTGCTTTTTTCCGCAGAATAGTACTCCATTGTGTAAATGTACCACATTTTCTCTATCCACTCTTTTTAAGAAATATTGCTTGGGTTCTGATAATCCTTTTAAAATGCCCATCTAGCATTCACTAGATTATAGATGAAATACAAGAATAAAGATATCTTGGGCTGGGCAACGGCACATGCCTTTAATCCTAGCACTCGGGAGGCAGAGGCAGGTGCCAGGACAGGCTCCAAAGCACTACAGAGAAACCCTGTCTCGAAAAACCAAAAAAAAAAAAAAAAAATATATATATATATATATATATATATATATATATATATATATCTTTCCGATTTGAAAATACGACAAAACATGGTATGGAAGACACAGAAATGAGTAATTTCAACACATGCTTAATTATATGACTACTGACACTAATGGACACTTAGTGTGTAGTGTTTTGGATTATGGGAGGCCTCAACTGAATCAAGCCTCATGTGATTAAATACTATGGTTCATACAAGACTTTCCCTCTGAAGAGGATAGAGTATATCAAAGTATAACACATCGCCTTTAGACATTATAAGGCTGTGTTTTGGCAGTACAAACTAGATCAGGTCAGTTATTGTAATACTCATCCCTCAGCAGTTTTAGCACCATCTCAATGCATTCATTTTTCATTTATTTCAGTTACTCTACTTAAACCGTAGGAATGAGTTTAAGTTCTATTTTCATTCTTGTGTCAATGCAGGTGGGGACCTTTGAGACAGGTCTTCAACTGAATTGTGATTCAGACACAGGTAAGCTGGCTGTCCCATGAGCTTGAGGGATGTACATTACTGTTAAAGGCAGGAATTTCCACATGGGCTTTCAAGTGGATTCTGGGGAATCTCAACCCAGGTTCTCAGCATTGCATGCCAAGTATTATCCTGATGATTTCTTATACCAGCCCACATATTTTTTCCTTGATCATCACAAGAAGTGGTTTTGAATACCTATATTGAAGTTTAAGGAAACTGAGGAAGGGCCCTTGCTAACATAAATTTGGCCTGGATTTTGGGCCTTTGTGCAAAGTCCACATCCTTTCTTTGGGTATTCTGCTACAAACCTCAGGTTATCACACTATCCCAACTTCAGAGTGACCATTATGGAAGCAACAGAAGCTTGTCTTGAAAACATATCCTGGGGTTTGACCAAACACCTATGGTCTAGAGTCTGAGGAATATCTGCAAAAGATCTGTTAACTTGCATCTAGGGAAATACATTTTTTCTAAAGTCAACTTAAAAATTTTCCATTAAAATTTTTCTGTAGTGCAAATTATACTAACCATAAGCCTACATGAGATTACTAATGGTAAGCCAAGGCTTATCCCTCTCACATTTATTTCAGAGAAGAGGCATTAAATATGTCACTGGTTTATTTACAATTTTATTTAGTAATAAGAGTTCAAGAGTTTAATCCAATTTTCAGATCACATCTCTTAATCTTCATTCTGAAAAACAAAAACAAAATCAATGGCATAAGAAGCCCATATTACCTGCCAGAAGTCACAGTAGTTTCATATCTTCTATGAGTTTGATACATCAGAAAGCGTTTACAGTATCATGAGTTTATCATACTGATTTGCTTCATCACATGTATCAAAATCTTGTATGAATTATGCCGACAAACCATGATGCATATGGAAGAAATCTTCAAGCTACCAGTATGCAACATTTACAGAGATGTAGTAACAATGTATTTCCTTAAGGCAGTATTTAATACCATAGCAGGTATCATAGATTGATAAACTAAACACTAGAGCATTTCTTTCTTGGGAGTTTCACATAATATATACCACATGCCTACGTGCAAGTAAGCAGGCAGTGGGGACACAAGCCTTTAACCCTTGACTCAGGGAGGCAGAGGCAGTTGGGTATCCGTGAGTGTTAGCCCAGCCTGGTCTACAGAGTTCCACAACAGCCAGACCTGCACAGAGAAACCCTGTCTGGAAAAATCCCAAGAATGAAAAAAAGATCCCTCACAAAAGGAACCTAAGTCTGAAGCCTGTAGCTTAGAGGCCACATGCACTCTGGGATAGCTAGAAATCAGTCGTTCTCAGCCTTTCTAATACAGTTCCTTATGCTGTGATGACCCCCCATAAAATTATTTTCATTGCTAAGTCATAACTCTAATTTTGCTACTGTTCTGAATCATAATTTAAGTATCCATGTTTTCTGATGGTCTTAGATGACCCCTTCAAAAGGATCGTTAGACTCCAAAAGGGGTCATGACCCACAGATTAAGGACTGATGATATAAATGCAGTCCAAAAGAAAATTTAAAAGCAAATCTATTTTGTGTTTCGTTTTTTTGCAGTTTAGCAACTAAATTGTGGAGTTCCTTGTGAACTTTGCAAATGATGATGCCATCTTAGTGTTAATAGGCTATATGCCCCCAGTGTGTTTGCAAGAGTCAATTATTTTAGTTCAAGACACAAGAGTGATTTATAAAGTATGAAATTCACAACAAAATTACCCTACGTGGGATACGAGGCTAATGTATCCTATGGAATTTTAGCAAAGTTATTATTTGTGTCTTCAATGGGGCTTTAATACGACTCATCTTACGGGTTGCTGGGGAGTCTGTCCTCAACATCAGTTAAAGTGGTACCCCATAAACACCGACCTTCATCTATAAAGACAACATAGGGTTGGCAGACTTGTCTTTCCCAATATCACATACTTACCTTCAGGAACCAGCACACAAGGATTTATTGTGTCCTGAGGGAGTACACAGGGTACACAATAGAAATTACTATTTAGGAAAACCAGAAACCCAATTACCTGTTAAAGGGGTGAATTGAATATCCTCACTTTTTGAGTAGCTGGTGCCTTACTATGAAGAAGGGAGCGGCAAATCCAGATCCAAAGTACACAGTCATCATAGCCAGCAACCGCCACTTGTTTTCCACTGAAAACGGCAAATTCTGTTGGGAAAGCGGAAAAAGTGTCAAGAACAGTCCCTCAAAGAATCCGATCTTACCGAATAAAAGGGACAGGGGCAACTGTACACACATGCATTTTACAATTAGGTGCATTCGACAGAACATGATATAAACACCTAGGTTTTCGGAATACCAGTCAGCAAGTGTAAAAAAAAAGGAAACAAAACGATCAAGTCTTGCATACTGGATAAAATACCCTGCAAAGCAGTTACTTCACAAACAAACACACCAGTGTAGCTCAGTGTTAGTAGACATCCTCCTTCACGGAGCTCACGGCAGTGTCCTCCACCGTGCGGAGCTCGGGCTGCTCCCGGGCAGCCTCCCTCGCCCCTCACCCTGCGCTCGCCTCGGCGGCGGAGCTAACACTCGGCGTGGTCACACGGGGGCTGCTCCGGGGCTCGGGCGGCGATGTGCGGGTGTGGTCGGCTGACCCGCAGCCCCAGGCTCGCGTCCTCTCTGCTCCCGATGACCTTCACGGGCCGCGCGACGCCGCCCGGCTCCACCCTGGGCGGCCCCGGCGCCCCGGCCTTGCGGCTCCGGGCGGGAGCGGCTGTCGGCCGAGGCCTGGATCCCGGCGGAGCTCGGGAAGCGGGGACAGCGCGAACTCCCGAGCCCCGGAGCGGCCGCCACCCCCCCCCCAACTACAGGCCCTCGGGTGAGCTGGTGGCGCCAGGCCGCCCTCTCCCTACGCAGCGGGCACTCGCTCACCTTCCCCGGGCCCTCCTCGTAGTGGCTGCGACGGACCACGGAGGTGGTGAACCTCCGGACACTCTGGCCCAGCATGGCGCCGCGGGGGCTGGCGAGGGCCGCAGGGCTGCCAGGCGGGAGAAACGGCCGCGCTTCCTCACGACCTTGTCACAGCAGCGGGGACCGAAAGGGAAGACGGGAACCACCGCGGGGACTCTCGGGAGCGCAGCCCGCGGGCGACCTCTGAGGATTGTGGGCTTTGTAGTTCAGATCGTACCCGGAAGCATAGCGGTTCCGGAGGATTGTGGGAAATGTAGTTTGGCTCTGGGACCCCAGAATCAAATGAAATCTTACCAACAGTGATTCAGGTTCTGGAGCTGAGTCCAGATCTAGGATTCTTGGGGTTTGTTTCCAGAAAGAATTCATTGAGGCAGCTGAAGCTATTTAACGGTGTTTGTGGAACAAGAAAATAAAACTTCTTTTCCTGTGAGTACGTCACATGTTTTTCGCGGCAGTACTTAGCCCACACTGAAGGCAGTGTGGTCCTGTCAGAGGGTACACAAACACGTGAACACACAACGTGTAGCACGAGGGATGCCATGGATAAAACTTATTTGAAATGCTGAGATGGATTCTTGAAGATGCAAACTGGACATAAAGGAACACAGAGACCAGATAAAACTCCTATCCGCAGCATGAGTAGATAGATAGTGGAAGACATACCCTCTGACGTCTGGATCTTTCCTGGATTACAGATTGGTGTATCCCTGCTAAACATAACAGTGTCATGTAGCATCAACATTGGACAATGCCATTAGACACTGATAGATTTTTTAAAACAGAGGTGGGAGCACTGTATATATTCCTAAATACACAAATATAACTTTCTCAGTCTGTATAATGTTGCTCATGTATGTGAAAATACCAAATGAAGAAAAGAAACAATGAATTTGAAGGGGTTCAAGGCACCATACATAGCAGGCATTGAGAGGAGAGAAAAAGGAAAGGGAAAATGATGCAATTATAATATCAAAAATAGGAAAAGATAAATTTTAAAGATCTAAATATATTTCATATTTGATGATAAAATTTCACTGGAAGTGCCCTCTATGCATAGTGAACTATATCCTAGGGAGTGTGTAAACATTTTACATTTGAAAGACCCCCAGAGTGGGAAGACCCCCACTCAAGTCTCGAGATAAGCCTACATCCCAATAATTCAAGAGAGACTGTTCTTGCTGCAAGCACACGAGGTTTATTCGGGGAACCAGTGCACTGGGGCCAAGCTCATAACCCTCGCAGGGGCAGAGGAGTTCAACCCTTAGTAGCTGCAGTTGGGCTTTTTTTTTAAGGGAAAAACTGAATGGGGGAGTTAGGCAAACATCATCATAAACATAAAGGATGAGGAAGTTAAATGATAGCTTATGTCTTAACAGGAAGGTTATCTCAAGCAAGCATTATTTGGGCATTGTACAGTTAAACATTGAGCAGGAATGTGGTGAGCTAGTTCCTGGAAGAGGGAGGGTTATCTTTTAAGTTTATCTTGAGGTATCCAGTTTTTCAGGAGAGTGCAGAAGGGCAAGTCACTCTGTGATTGGCTAGTCACTAGGGATCTAAAAATGTTGAGTTGGGATCTCTCACATTCAAGCAACTAAGTCTCAGCAAGTAACAGGTGTTAAACAAATCACAGCGTCAAACTTTGTCATCTAGCTTTCTGTCAGTCTGCCTGTCTGTCTATCTATCATCTATCTATCTATCTATCTATCTATCTATCTATCTCAATCATCTTTCTATTTATCTGTCATCCACATATCTGTGGATCTCTTTGTTAAAAACATCTGGAAATTCTATGAAGAGGTGAATGCTATCCACTTAGTCTAGATGGACTCCCTGTGAGTATTGTCACTAAAAGAGCATGGCAGATGTAATTGTACCAATGTCTTATATATATATATATATATATATATATATATATATATATATAGGATAGATTTCTATCCTACACTTTTGTAGTGTGTGTGTGTGAGAGGGTGTACATATGTGGGTGTGCATGCTGCTTCAATATATGGTATATCGCTTCATTTTATTTGAGAATACATAGAACACAAACCTGTGGTGTAGTGAGCCCATTCTGGATCTCTTTTAGTATGAAATGCTCCTAATTCTATGATATTTTTCATACATAATTTTTGTTAAATGTAACTGATTTTAGCTTTTATAAAATGGCCAAATATTGCACCATCTGTTTAATATAATTGTTATATATGTCTGTATATAGTGTATATGTCTATCAATATCTATCATCTATCTATATCTATCTATCATCTATCTAATACAGAACTTTTTAATATAATTGTGTCTACATCTTACTAGTTCCAACCTTAATTTTTTTAGTCCTTTTCCTCCACAGCAAGATTTGAGGAGATTCCCGAGTTAATTACCAACAAGCCTGTGGGTGAGTTGAAAGAAAATGGTCCCAAAGATAGTGGTACTATTAGGAGGTGTGACATTGTGGAGTAGGTGTGGTCTTATGAAAGGAAGTGTGTCACTGCTGAGGTGAACTTTGTGGTCTCATATATGCTTAGTTTACCACCCAATGTCCCAGATCATTTCCTGTTGCTGGAAATATATAGAACTCTCATCTGCTTTTCCAGGACCATGTCTGCATTTTCATCACCCTGTCCGACCCTGATGATAACCAATTGAACCTCTGAACTGCGAGTGAGCAACCCTAATATTTTCCTATATAAGAGTTGCTGTAATGGTGTGTTTTCACCAGAATTCCTGATGGCATATATGTCTACTACCATTGTGAATAATAAACACAGTAGATTAGTTATAGGGGCATGCTTAGTACTCTGTGAATACATACCATTTGGAAGAAGATAGTGGTAGAGGAGCCTGGGAAAATTCAATTAGGTTTGCTTGTAAAGGCTCATATTCACCTAAGTGTCATGTTGTTCACCTATTGGAGAGTTTATAATGCCTCAAATAGATAGTTTTTACAACAGCAAACAGCTCAAAAGAATCCAACCTCCCCTTTTTTGAAAACTAGATATATAATATATGCTTAATTTTTAAATTTTATTTACAAGTTTTGAAAGAGAAAAACCATGGTTTCTCCTTCAGAGGGTTTTGTTGTTTTATTTCTACAAATAGTGACAGTATTCCTACAATTTCTGTCCTCCTCATACAGAAGATCTTAATTTTTACAAATAGTTTTTGAGACAATGTCTCATTATGTAGTCCATGCCAGTCTTAAACTCATGTAGCTCTCGCTGGCTTTGAACTGAAGAAACCCTCTACACTTAGCTACTCACTGTGTTTGAATTATATTTGTGAGCTCCCAAGACCTATGCTTTTCAAGTTAAAATTATTTTTTTTATTTTATGTGTATTTGTCTATGTGTATGTATGTGTACCATATATATAGTCCAATTCTCATGGAGTTTAGAAGAAGGTACTGAAGCCCTGAAACTTGACTTCATCAAGTACTCAACTATTGTCTTCTTTTTAGATCCTTCTTCAATTTTTAAGAGTCTTATTCTATACTTTTTCATATCAAAAGATTTGTAATAATACCTTTTTTATTCTGTGAGCATTCTATATATGTATGTGATGTGTTTTGATGGTATATATTCACTTTCACTATGTCCTCCCTTTGGACATCCTCCAACATGTTCCCTCCATGTCTTTGTTTAAGCTATCCCATTGAGTACATACAATGTTGCCCATATGGACTTGATAAATGGGTTTATCGCCATCTACTTCAGCAGGGAAAACCTACCAATGGTCACACTCAAGGCAAACAGACTTTTCTTCCCCCAGGAGCCATCAGTTGTCAATTGCTCCCCAACTAGGTTTGGGGTTTGTGAGCAACCTCCCCGTGCTATAATTTTGAATAAGCTAATCTTTTTCAGATCTTGTGCAAGTGACCACATCTGCTGTGAATGCGCAAGTGCAGTGGACATGTTTCAAAGCACTCTTAATCCTCCTGTTCCTACATTCTTTCCAACCTTCTTCCATGGTGTTCCCTGAGGCTTGGGGAAGAAGTTGGTACAGATGTTCCAATTAAGACTGAGCACTCACAATGTCTTATTCTCTGTGTTTTGACTACTTGAAAGTCTGCATTGACTACTGTCCAATTTAGGAAGAAGTTTATCTCATCAAGGCTAACAGCAGCACAGATCCATTGATATAAACACAAATATTTAGAAGGTAGTTTAACAATATTACCATTTATCAAAGTAACCATAGCAGTTCCCAATCCCTCTCATTCCTAGGGCCTAGAAACTCCAGACTATAAACAAAGAGCATGTTCTTATTCTTAATTCTACTTTTTAATATTATAAATAATGCTACCTGCGGATTTGATTTACCATCAATTCTAATTCACATTAATTGAGTTCTCACAGGACAGTGTCTTTAGAATATAGCTTCAGAATTTAGTGAATAACATAATTAAATTAATTATTTTCATAAGAATTGGGCAATAGCCTTCCTGGGACTCCATTCACTAGGAGAGTGTGGCAGAGACTGGCATGTGCCAGTGTCTTGCCCAGATGTGACGATATTTAGAGATGCCTTTCTTACCTCTTGAAACAATGAGCTCTCAGGAAAGAAGTTTCCTCTACTCAAAGTCCTCCTGGAAAGTTCCCTAGATTCAACAAAAAGGGATCTATTAGTGGAATAACTGTCTTGTTCTGAAAGCCCAGTCCCACCATCAGCTTGAATATCATTACCTGACTGCATTCGGTGATGTGTAGAGTTGCTTTCCCAAACTGTTTAGTTATAAATTTATCATCTATAATGATATGGCGATATGGTTATTCTTGCAAGCTATTAAGATTAAGGGAGATTGTTAAAAGTCAACAAATTAATCAATTAGGTTGAGTAGCTTCTTAAAGGAGTTAACCTTTTTAAACAGGCTTCCATTACCATATCTTTTCTCACCCTAGATCTGGTTGGCAGCTTGCCTGTATCATTTAAAAGACTTAATCTAACTTAATGGCTGTCTCTTTCCATTTTACTGCTGTGATGACTCCCTAGCTCTTAAGAAACTTGTCTACACCAACAACAGAACAAAGAGCTGTAGCTAGCTGTCTTACAGTTGCTTTGGCATTGGAGAGCACTAGACATGCTCAGAAATGCGTGTTTCAGCTTTCTGATGCTGTCAGTGAGTTAACGGGAATTGGCATGAGATTAAAAGTGA